GCCGAGAACCCTCAGTCTCCGACTCTTAATAGTAAGAATCAAGGCCAAGTGGCGGCTGGTCCCCTGTAGCCTGGATTGACGTCTCCAATGCGTCGCGCATTGGTCGCGCGAAATATGACAGACCGTGGTCGAGTCTACTATTCCACATCTTCATATTCGAATAGCTCCAAGAGCGTGGCAAGCACGGAGACCAAGACGCGGTGAGAAGTATTCAGAATTTCGGCCACCCACCAACCTCAATCTCACAGAGCTCTCAAGAAGCATCCCATCCTTCTTCCCTGATCCACTCTTGAACAGTCCATTCGTTGATGACGATGCGGGCTTTGTCAAAAGCACGTCCATGAGGTCAGAGGGTCGCGATTTGGTTAATGTGCGAAGCAAGGGCGCGGTGATAAGGGTAAAGTATGTTTGGAATTTGAGAAGCTATTGTTGATATAGTTATAGATCACATCGCCCAAAGAAAAGTACAAAGACGCACCGAAGCGATCGAGGGACCAAGTCAGCCAAAGTGGCTCCTGAGTCCACGCTACCCCACGCATCTTCATCGCGTCAAACAAGAGCTCATCTATCGTGTCCACCAGAGAGACGAGGCGAGTGAAGCACTTTTGCTGAGCGGCCACGGATGAGATCAAGAAAATGAAGTGAAGTATAGTCACTCACTAATTTAGAAAGCACCATATCAAGTTCTTCTAATTTATCCTCCATCACTGATACTTTTGGCCCCACCGTGTGCGTTCGTGGAAATCGATCCATCGGAGACGCAGCGAGTGCGTTCCTGTTAATATTCCATGAGGAGAGAAAATGCTATGAGCAGGATTGCCAATAGAAAACCCCACGATAGCTCTGTACGAGCACCCACGAGTGCTTTCGCTGCCCTGAGGCCATCATGCAGCACAAGATCGTTCCATGTCATAGTCACACTCTGTATTTCAACCAGCGTCGTGCGCAGCTTTCGGTGATAGGTAGTCTCAGAATGATTGTCATTCCGCAGGGAGGGAGAGGGATCCGGTGAGCCTTGCTTCTTGCGCGAGGGCTGCGGCTTGACGGGCGTAAGAGAGGGAGAAGTTGGACCAGCAAACGATCCAAGTCTCTTGCTCATTGACCGCGGAGCTACCCGAACAACCTGCGCGGTCATCCTCGATGGGAGAGACCACTCGTTATTTCTATGGTATCACTCTTTGGGCACTTTGTTCTCCCTTTCAGGTGGGTCATTTAATGGATTTGCTATTTAATACATTCGCCCCGAGCTGGGAATCCTAACGTTGCGAATTCGCCATGACAGTATGGGTACCACACCGCAGCGCTAAACCAAATACAAGGACCACTGACATGCCAGAGCTCAGCTTCTATTCCTCTCCCTCTCCCATGTATTGAGATGTCAGGTGCCATGTTTGGGGTGGTGACTTCCTTCTTTACTCTTGGCGGTCTTTTGGGCTCGTCCTCTGCCAGTCTCGTCATGGATCGTGTGGGACGAAAAGGTGCTCTGGTCTTAAATTCTGTCTTTATCGCCGTAGGTAGTGGAGTCTTCGCTATATCTAGCGGTGTTCCTGGATTTTTGCTGGGAAGGTGAGGGCAATATTATTTCACCTTACTGAGACCTGTGTCTAATCGTCAAGCCAGACTACTCATCGGTTTCGGCGCTGGACTCGGTCTATGTGCATTACCAATTTTTCTGGCCGAAACTGCGCCTCCAAAGATTAAGAATCAAGTCGGTATGAATGCGTTCCTAGGACCTATGACTGCAATCTTAACTCCTCGCTTCCAAGGTGTATTTAACCAGCTCTTCATCACCATCGGGTATCATATTCTTTCCGGTCGGAGTCCGAGCATCATTCTCAAGTGTACTATTTAGGATTCTAGCAACTCAAAGCCTTGGCCTGCCATTGGCCAGGCTTCAATTATGGCGTTACGTTCTAGTCGCATCCACCCTACTTGCTATTCTCCAGGTTGCGACCGCTGTCTTTATTTCTGATACTCCAGCATGGCTAGCAGCTCAAGGCAGACATACCGATGCTCTGACAGTGTCGCAGAAGCTTTGGGGAATCGAAGAGAGTCCCGATCGATCTAGGACCCCTAGTCGGCATCGCAGATCGGATTCTGATGATGCCGCAAGATCGCTGCTGAGTGATGGGGGTCGCGATCACGATGACACAGACACTTCGACTCTCCCTACACCACCTACAGTACCGCCTTCGGAACCCATAGGCATATTGCAGATGCTGAAACGGCGAGAACTGAGGAGGGCAGTATATGTCGTAGTCCTTGCCATGTTAGTACAACAGGGAAGTGGCATAAATGCCGGTGCGTCTGTTTGTTCTTCGGTGAAATCAAGTCTATTGACAGATGACATGCCTTCAACAGTTATATATTATAGCACGGACATTCTCCGCCAAGTTGTTCCAACAAGTGCAGCATACATTTCTCTCCTCATTTCTGTCACAAATGTCATAATGACATTCGCACCTGTTCTCCTTATCGAAGTGCGTCTTGACGCTATATTATGCGCTCACCCACCTGCCCCTAATTCGACGATTCTTGCCACAGGGCCTTGGTCAAAGAAAGCTCTTGCTCCTTAGTATAGGAGGAGGCCTCGTATCAACGGCTCTATTAGGATATGGTCTTGATTCCGGAATTATCTGGCTGAGCGGCATCTCGATACTTGTTTTCGTAGCGTGCGTGTTTCCTCATCTGCTTTCTCTTAGTTTTTCATCGGTCTTGGTCCTGGATTGGCAATAGATCTTTCGCATTGGGGATGGGCCCAATACCGTTCATGCTCACCGCCGAACTCGTACCTTATTATGTAAGGATCCCTCCCTTTGAATTTCTTTTACGCGATGCACTGACCCCGCATGCCCGACTCGCAGGCCGTCTCTCCTCTTGCATCACTTGCATTATCTGTCAATTGTAGGTATCGTCGCGGACTGCCCTCTAATTTCTCACCAGGAGCTACAGTGTTCATGTCTCATCCAGGGATTGCAAACTTCATTGTCTCGATAGCGTTCATACCCTTGCGCGACTTCCTCGCTCATATAGGAGGAGGAGAAGAAAGCCAAGGTCAGGGAAGGGTGTTTTTTGTCTTTGCATTCGTGTTGGCAGCATGTGGCTTCGGCCTTGCTCGATTATACAAGCAGTGACACTTGAAGTGCCAGGGTTGCCGTTCGTTGTAGTTGTAGTAATTCAGGAAAACCAAGGAATGGATCCTAGATCAAGGGGATCGAAATGCAATCTATCTCATTGGGCCAGGTTAAATGTAGGAGGGACAAGATACACTCGCTCGAGAAACAACTGTTGGAATGTGTGTGCCCCGGGAGTGGCCGTTACGACAGGCACAGAAATCCTTCTATCGCTCGTCGTAGCTTGTGCTCGCGACGTATCAAGACCTGCAGTAGGGATCGATTGGGAAGGCTCGGCGGGTTTCATCCCCTCCCTCGATCGAACGCTGCCGGTAGCCTCGAGGGTCCCCCTGTTTTCAGTAATTCTGTCATCAGTGAATCGATTGTAATCTCATGAACCCATCGATCCGTACCTTCTGTCGACGACGCACATTCCCTTTGTCCATTCTCCTTTACGCTCAATAACGAATCTTCTAATCGTCGTCTCCCACCCTGGCCGTAAAGCCCAGCACGGTCTCTCGTCACTATTAGATCCACCACTCGTGCCTTCCAGCCCAAGTTCAGATGAAGAACGAGCATGGTCGATGACGAAGTAAGCAGCAACGGGATCATGCATCTCGAATACGTCCCCAGTGAGACCCAGGGACGCGAGAACTTCCCGAGGACGGGCGAGAATCGCGTCTGTAAAGTCACGGAGGATGCTTGGCTGCATTTCAGTGGGATTGGGTTCGGGCGCCAATGTTCCCGAAATTGAAAGAGATGGACCCCTGATGAGTGATGAGAATGGGATAGTGTGCCGAGATGTGATGTCTAACGGGACCAAGACTAGATTGACCCGCCCCTCACTGCCAGCTTTCAAGACCTCTTCCGCGGCGTACCTAGGAGTACACATGAGGAAGGGGGTGGCGTGGGAAATTGGAATGGACGAAATTAGTGGGCGGGACTTACGGATCCGCAAAGAAGTTAAATTCGGACGAAGCAGATGTGTTGCCCGGTACATCCAACGCACCACCCATAATGACGATACGTTCCGCCTTTGCGAGTGTCATAGGATCCTTGCGTAGAGCTTGTGCGACTGTGGTCACTGGACATATATAAGGTCAATCCTGGTAGCGAATACTGTGTATGTCTATACAAACGAGGCCCAAGAACTAAGACCGTCACGGTATTGGGGCCTCGGCTTCGAGAATTGATAAGATTGCGTCGCAGCCATCGTCAGATATTATATCAAGATCTGGGTGGGGTCCTTGCTGGAGGACTTCTGGTACGTCAAAGTGAGGATGTGTTGTCGAGATGTTGGAAAGCCCGTCATCTCCATGCTAGTGTACAAAGAAATCGCTTTGTCGCGCGCAGAAACAAGTGCCAGACAAAGACGTACGAAATATGCTGCCAGATTGAGAGACCCCTCCAAGGGACCGCTGGCCCCACGAGCCACGCGTGTCTTCTCCGTTCTTCTTGAATTGGGAAATTGAGAAACAAGCTGGGGGTTTCCCATAAGATGTGTACCCATTATATGGAAGACTTTGAGAATATTGGTGACAGCCTGATCCCGAGACGTGTTCCCTGAGCACACGACGCGTCAGATTACACTTATTTTCGAATGGACCAGCCTTGGGGACCATGCACCAAATGTTACAGATATAAGCTCAAGCTCAACCTCGGGGGAGGCAAGCAGGAGAAGGAGTGCCATAACATCGTCAACCCCAGGCTGCCATCGAAATTAATCAGTACAGTATCAAGAAGAAGATAAAGATCGCGACAGACGTCTGTATCGACTATAATCTTGCGCACCATGACGGTGTGGGAACGAAAGGAAGAATTGATTTCTTTACGTAATGACCCCGTGAGCTCTGATCAAGAGGTGCCCTGCGGATGAGATATCAAGGGTGCTTGGTAGCGCAATTGGTTAGCGCGTCTGACTGTTAATCAGGAGGCTGAGAGTTCGAGTCTCTCCCGAGCAGGTTCTTTTGGGTCGCCAGCACCCACTCGATACGCTTGCGTGTAACCTTTACACAAGTTAACGTGAAGTGTATGGACCGGGTCGCGCTGGATTCGGATTGATTGTACTCCCCAAACCAGAGCTTCCGCGTGACTTGACGTAATTCTCAGACACCAGTTTACGGCAAGCCCCATTGCACCCCCCAACACTAATCAGACCCAGGTCACATCCTTCTCTCCTCCCCGTGCCCTGAATGAGCGTGACCTGCCTCACAGGCCCCTATGACCTGTGACCTCCACTCAGTCCGGAGACCTTACGACTGGCTTACGGCCCTGCTACCAGCAAACGTGAATATGGGACCGAACCGTACCCTAAACTCGCTACTCATAATGTCCTTCCGGATTCCGCGGTTTGCACCCATAGGGTGCCATCTTTCATCAGGTTGCTACCAGAATTGCTATCAAGTACATCATTTCATCCCCTCTGGACCCGAAGGCTTGTTCAATGCTGGACTTTTTTTTTTACAACGGATGCTGGGGGAAGAGCATCAATGTGAATTTCAGACCCTCTCCCAAGAGCGAGAAGGACGGGGCTATGAATTTCGGTATCGACATTGTGAACCTTTGGGCTAATGCGATTGTTAACTTAGCTAGTAGCTACTAGTGTAGCGATCCCTGCGAATTTCCTGTATTTAGTGGGGGAAGACGGTCTGAAAAATGAGAGGTTGTGCTATCGATGTCTACAAAGAAAGTGCCACACAATGAACGATGACTGGGGTTCGTGGCTCTTTCGGAGGTGGCCGAGCCGGGTCGAATGCGCAAGTGAGAGTTAGATTTGCGTGCTCTTGAATATTGCCGGTATTGTAGCTTCATCGACATGCAGCGCTTCAGACTTTTCAGAAGTGTGCGCACCCCGTCTGTGTTCGGGTTTCCTCGTGCTCCACTGGGCATTCAACGTGCTTTCGCCTCGAGGACGGCTTCTTCTACCTCAAGGTGGACTGCATTGACTATCACGGCACTTCTCAGCGGTGGAATCGGATACAGTCTCTCCCCTCATGCGGGGATTTTTGGTTCCCCTTCTTCAGTGCCAAAATATGGCTCGAACGAAGATTTCGCCGCTGCCTTGCGCGACCTAGAATTGTCCCTAACTAAGGAGCAAATCTCAGTTGATACGAACGTTTTGCATAGTCATGGATTCTCAATGCTTAATAGTAATCCTGGGGTGCCACATTCCATTGTCGTGTATCCCCAAAGCACAGAGGATGTTGTCAAGATCGTGAATATTGCACGGAAGTGGTTGATTCCTGTGGTCCCTTATTCTGGAGGGACTAGCCTTGAAGGACACACGTCTGGCGTAAGTCCTCGAGCCTCCGATAAAAGAATTACAGCCAGAACTCATATGGTGCATCCAGATTCCTGGGGGCAGTATTTGTGTCGACCTATCTGATATGGACAAAATCATCGAAGTACATGGTAGGGCGGCTCCATTCAGACTCACTCATTCCCTGGAGCTGACAATATTCACTCATTTCCTCAGAGGATGATTCCGATCTTGTTTGCCAAGCAGGGGTGACTTGGGATGCAATAAATGCCCACCTTCAGGACCGGAACATCCCACTATTCTTCCCGGTATGTTTTCCTTGCAGACTAGTGAAATTGTGTAGTCACTACATGACGTTGAAGCTTGATCCAGGGCCGAGCGCTGCCATCGGTGGAATGATGGGTACAGGGTGTAGTGGAACCAACGCAGTCCGCTATGGCACTGCGAAAGCTGAATGGTTCCTGAATGCAGTATGCTGCTTGTTTAATGTCCTGCGTTCGCTCTTGACTGGTCCCTCAGACCGTAGTGTTGCCTTCAGGTGAAGTTATCAAGACCCGACAGCGCGCCCGGAAATCGTGAGGCCCCATATGCTTTCCCAGGGCAGGCGGCATCTTAATGCGCTCCTTAGTTCCGCAGGTTTTGATGCTACCAAATTATTCATTGGTACGTAGTGTCATCTTTTCACCTCGTTGCAGTAGTCATCCTCACATTCGAGCCAGGTGCTGAAGGAACCCTGGGTATTGTGACTGAGGGTGGGCTGACCTCCCACAGTCACTTGGAAATATCGCTCATGAGATAGATTGCAATATCAGTTACGATCCGTCTCGCGCCTCTCCTTCCCACCAACGTAGCTGTCGTTCAATTCCCCGATGTTAAGAAGGCTACCGAGGCCGTGAAGGACATCCTGAACTCAGGGGTGATGATTCAGTGTGTTGAACTGTGCGATGACGAATTCATGCGTGCGACCAACGTCTACGGAGTTTCTGAAAAGAAATATCCCGAGCTGGACTCGTTGTTCTTCAAGTTTCAAGGCACGCCAGAACTTATCAAGGAGACTTCCAGGGTGGTAAAGGATATCGTGTTCAAACATGGTGGCACTGGCTTTCAAATGGCCAAGACACCGAAGCAAGCCGACGACCTCTGGGCAGATCGAAAGAATGCATTATACAGTAGCTTGGCGCTGGTCCCGGGTGCACGAGGCTGGAGCACGGACGTTTGTGGTACGTTCTTGAGCTTCCATCCTCGCGAATGATTGTTGAGTAATCGCTGCGATAGTACCTGTTTCCAAGCTGCCTGAATTAGTGTACGAGACCAAAAAGGTATAAGCATGTGGAGATAGCAAGAAAACCATGGCTGAACCTAGGGTTTCAGGATCTCGCCGAGCACAACTTGGTCGCCACCGTGGTAGGACATGTTGGTGATGGTAAGTCATCATTAGTGTCTTGCATTTGGACCAGGCTCTTATGAATCTCCTTCAGGTAACTTCCATGCCTTAATTGTGAGCTCCTCTAGTGCCCATGGGACTCTAAACAGATTGAGCTGAAGTCGCCGACTGCAGTTGTTTTCTAGTGACGAGGAACTTGAGAGAACTCGTCACGTCGTCCACCGCATGGTTCATCGGGCTATCGCACTTGAAGGAACATGTTAGTCTTGAATGTTTTTGTCTGACTGGACACCCATCTATTGACACGTCTCTCATTTGTCGCCATATAGGCACTGGCGAGCATGGGGTAGGGATAGGGAAGAAAGAGTACCTTATTGAGGAACTCGGCGCGGGGACTGTGGAGCTGATGAAGACGGTTAAACGGGCCATAGATCCTCTTGGTCTTTTCAATCCAGGCAAGGCAAGTTGCTTTCCAACCTATGTCTATTGGAGACTATTTGCTGATATTATGTGGTCTCAAGCTCTATCCTGATGATGAAGAGGTGCGGAAAGCTCGCGAGGCGCACCGCCGAACATGATCCACTGTTTTCTATACATACACACGACTTTGTGACTATGCGTACATCTTGTTCGAACTAACCAGTCTTCGTTCCGGACGCCGTCATTGTTCCCCATAGGATCCATATCTTCGAGGCAATAGTGCCAAGGCCAGGTAACAACAGCTGATCATTTGAGCTAGGATCTGAACAGTACAAGTAAACGAGGTGGGTGGATATGGTATGATGATTGCGCGTGTGCGTAACACCTTCACTACGATAAAGAATACAGAATTGAATGGTTTCGTTCGTTCGTTCGTGAGGGGAAAAGGTGTCGCTTGACAGTAGACGTAAGAGGGTAGGTAGCATGCTGAAGATTATATGGATAATATTTTGTACTCGATGTGGTGTGGGCAGTAGTAATATCGCGAGCTAGTCTTCATTCAGGCTTTGAGGTTGGTTTGTTGATGAAAGTCATATCGACAACATGTCTGTCATGCTGACGCGTCTGATGCCATGTCTACGAAAATTATCTTAGCTATCTATCGACTCGGAGCATGGAACGCTTAGACTTGGCGTGGAGATGCATTGCAAGTCCGTGTAGGTCGAATGGACGTCCCCCATGGACTCCGTCGTCTTTCAAACAGTGCATGCAGCGAATGATGTGCTTGAGTTTGACGGCATCCTTGGGGTTCAGGATTTTCGAAGTGTGCACCCCATACGTCAACTGGATCAACTGCCTTTCATGTCGAAGATCTTCAATCTCTGGCCCAATCACGGATCGGATCCAGGGCCAATCTAAATGTTACAGAGACGGTCGTCGAAAACAGGTGGGCAAGGAAGCTGATATATCACATACTGTCCTCGTGAATCCCTTCCATCCTTTCTACCAGGTAGTTCAGCATCTGCTTTGTTTTTGCAGCAGATCGGACCATCTTGAACTGCCAGCCATTCAGGCTGCATCGATTCCTCAGCCTAAGGCCGGCGCTAAAGGTAAACTGTACAAAAGAGGCTGAGTGCAACGTACGCATTACGGTTTGCGAAGTCCCTTTGGAAACCATCCGCCTCGACCCTTTGTCTCCACTTGTGGTAGGCAGGGGCTCCCTGGAAAATAGTCAGGCCTCACCAAGCAGAACAGGAACAGAATACAGACAGCAGATATTAGAGCATATTCGTTCGCTTTAGGTCCTCGGGGATCTTCTTCGTGATAGGGATAACCGGTGTCACCGTGCTTGGCTTTGTAGGCATTCACTGCATCTTGGAGATGCTCATTCCAATATAAACGAAGGTTAGGTTTGCGAGAGCGTTTCGGACGCCATCCTAAGGCCATGTCAGTGGGCCATGGTGAACCAGAAAGAGATGACGTGCCGCGAAGACACTGGGGCTCAATCGAAGGCAAAAATTTAGCGACAATTTTCTCCAGGCGGGTTGTGGCAGGTCCACATCGTCTAAGGGACAACTAAACATTACGATGACACAATTTGAGGTCCGACGCACTTCCAGAATTCAGCGTGACACTTTGGCTATAAGGACCACAATGACGCAAACATTAGACGCGCCCCCCAAGGCATACGAACGAAGAAATATATATCCACGAGAGGACAAATGGTAAGACGACTCGTATAAGAAGCAGGGAGCTGAGAAGTATTTTTGGTGCAAACCTTTTCGTCATGGAATCTCACTCAGTACACATGGTTCAAGGAGGAAGAAACCAACTTACAACGCATTTATTCAACCTACTAAACAGGAACAACGCCCACTCGTGTTCGGTCATCCCGACAC